GTCATTCAGAGTGGTTTGATGAGAAATGGTTCTTTTGTAGAGAAACTTACTGACTCAAATTTCTTTACAGTGGTGGTGATAGGAACCAGGGATCACAATGTCTACAACACAAATATAGCCATTTTATTTACTATCCAAAACCACCAACGTACAGTCTTCTGAAGTTTTTATATGTTGCTATATAAATGCTGATGATGGTAAAATAGTCGTAAATTAGTTTACCACTCAAACTACTGTAACTCATCTCAAAACTACTACAAAACAATGTCTCAGACATCAGGCTGAGTATTCATAACCAATTAATGTAATAACTTTCTGTGATGTAGCTTTTAGTGGCCTTAAACTCTTCAGACGTCTGGTTCCGAGTACTGCCGCTGTGAACAATTCTGACTTACTAAGTTTCTCTAGAATTAAGCATTTAAGTTTAACGCTTAAAACGATATAAGGCCTCTAGAGGTGCCAAACATGGGACACTGTAATGTACACTCTTGTACACTTCTATACTAAACCAAGATTAAGCTTTCCAGAAAGTATGGAAATATCAGCCCTAACTGTGTTGGATTATGATGCTATCAAATCCTGGCCAATTTATTTCATATGTTCTGGAACTCCATATTCAATTCACTGTCAGACATATTACAAGTGCCTGTTGACTCCTCTCCAATTACCGCACTCGTTGGAGTCTTTCCCGTCGCCCATTCTACATACAAATCCAATCTGGTGGTCTTTGTGACTCTCACAGCGAGCGGCTCATTCTGATGAACTGAAAAAAAAAACAAACATCTTCCCACACACATTGGATCAGACACGTACTGTATTTTCTGAAACTGGAAAAAATAAGGTCAAGGCTCCATAGCTTAATGTTATGAAGTGTGGGGGCCCCTTTAGCACAACTGAATAAATCAGAGCTCCAGGGTCTGTCAGACACAGATTAGGTTGAGTTAAAGTGACAAGTAAAGTTTATATTATTGTTTTTGTTTTACACGGTCGCCTCCTGCCTGGCACATGCATGTGCAACTAATATGGTAAATGGGCTGTGACACTTGCATGTCTACATTTGCATTGCAGTTGTCTATTTTATGTGGGCGCAGCTGGCTTTGTGGAGAGGTGTGAATTCACGGCAGGAGGTTCTGACCCCTCTCCTTTCGCTACTCATTGCTCACTAGCAGCTCAACACAGAATCACATTTCGCACACAGAGAAACAACAGTATAAAATACAAGTTATATAAAATATGTGTATATATATATACATATATATATATATATATATATATATATATATATATATATATATATGATTTATATATCGCTGCTTTGGGGAAAAAACCTTGTATCTCTATTTTTATCATTTTTCAGTTATTGACATAATTTGAAAATGCTTGTTCTTTAAATTGTGTGTAAATTTATGTAGAATGGACCAAATGAAATGGCCCTAAAACAACTTAAAAACGTAAAAAAGCCTGGTTCCATTGACTTACATTAAAATCATCAAAGTATGATTTTCCTTTGCCTGCTATCATTTTGGAGATATGGCGTTTTCTTCCGACAACAGCGATATGTGTATATACATATACATGTATGTATATATATATATGTATATATGTATGTATATATATATATATATATATGTATATGTATGTATATATATATATATATATATATATATATATATATATATATATAATTTGAGTACATTAATTACAACCCCATTTCCAAAAAAGTTGCTGTGCAAAAATGTAAATAAAAACAAAATGCAATTATGTGCAAATTATTTATGCCCTATATTTCATTGAAAATAGTACAAAGACAACATTTCAAATGTTGAAACTGAGACATTTTATTGTTTTTTGAAAATTTTTTGCCCATTTTGAATTTGATGCCAACCACTGCACGAGCAAGTAGTGCAACAATTCAAGAATAACGTTTCTCAACGTAAAATAGCAAAGAACTTGGGGATTTCATCATCTACGGTACATAATAACATTAAAAGATTCAGAAAATCTGGAGAAATCGCTGTATGCAAGGGACAAGGCCAAAAAAACAGTATTTGCTGGCCGTGATCTTTGGACCCCCAGGCGGCTCTGCATTAAAAACAGACATGATTCTGAAGTGGAAATCACTGCATGGGCTCAGGAACACTTATGAAAACCAGTGTCTGTGAAAACAGTTCATCACTGCATCCACAAATGTAAGTTAAAACTCTAAAACACAAAGAGGAAATTGTACATAAACAGGATCCAGAAATGCTGCCACCTTCTCTGGGCCTGAGCCCATCTAAAATGGACTGAGGGAAAGTGAAAAAGTGTCCATATTGTGTTTTTGAAATCTTTAATAAAGTCTCTTTTAAAAAGGAAAAGTGTCCTGTGGTCTGATGAATCAACATTTGATTTTTTTTGGAAATCATGGGATACAGACCACTCAGCTTGTTATCAAGTATTCTTTTAAACTGTGTATAAAAGTATAGGGGCGCATTAGTGCACGTGGCATGCGTAACGTGCACATTTGTGAAGTCACCATTAATGATGAACTACATATATGTGCATCCAGATGACGTCTTTTTCAGGGAAGGCATTGCTTAGCAAGACAATATCAAACCACATTCTGCATATATTACAACAGCATTGCTCTGTAGTAAAAGAGTCTGGGTCTAAACTGACCTGCTTGCAGTCCAGACCTCTTATGAAATGAAAAATATGACAAAGAAGAGCCTGAACTGTTGAACAGCTGAAGTCCCATATCGAACAGGAATTAAAAAACATTTTACTTTTAAAACTACAGCAATCGGTCTCCTCAGTTCCCAAATGCTTACAGAGTTTGTTAAAAGAAGAGGTGATGCAGCACAGTGGTAAATATGCCCCTGTCCCAACTTTTTTGGAACATGTTTTTGGCATCAAATTCAAAATGGCCATTTATTTTTGAAAAACAACAAAGTTTCTCAGTTTCTACCTTTGATTTGTTGTCTTTGTACTATTTTCCTTTAAATTCTCCATTTTGTTTTTATTTACCTTCTGCACAGCGTCCCAACTTTTTTAAAAGTGGGGCTGTAAAAATGTCCCAAGCAATTTCCAGTCTTTCAGCAGAATGGCCACTGCAGAGAGAGAGAGGGGAGAAAAATAATAACAAATTTATTCATCATGAATTTATTCATTCAATGCTGTAATTTACCCACGCTATCATCACAAATACCAGGTTTTTGTTCAGCACGTCGGGTGACAATGGGCTGCTTTGTGTAGGTTTCGGACCGGTCCAGTTCAGACAAAATTTTTCTGGCTCAGGTCGGGTTTGGGCAAGTCTGTGATAATTTGTGTAAGCACTTTGTACAATGCTAATTGATAGGGCATACGCTTCCATTAGATAAATCTAAACAAGCAAACTTCAGACACCAAACATGTCTTGGCTGATAGACTACATTTTGTACAATGGGTAAAATGTATAAATACATTTTTTGCTGAATTATCACTTTAATAACCCATGCAGGTGCACATGTAGGTGGAAGCTGTAGATAAAACTCTGAACATTGGTGCTTAGCGGAGGGCAGGAGATACACTATCACATGTTTTGTCAGCAAATGTATGTTGTGCCTTTCTCTGGCAGTTCAGACGTGTCTCAGTCTCCTCTGAGCTACAGTTCAGTTTGCACACTGCAGCTGAGAGATTAGCATTAGAGGACAATACTAAAGCCATGAAAGAGTGCAGGAGAGAGAGAGTGCAGAGGACAAAGAGAGAAAGCCAGAGAATACAGAGAGAAGACTGGGGACTTCTGGAATAAAGAGATGTGGAAAACAAAAGGACAGAGAAAGCACAGAGAGCGAGCGAGAGAGAGAGAGAGAGAGAGAGAGAGGAAAGACTACAGACTCTACTGAGACCTTTTAAAATCATTTTGAAGAAAAAGATGATACCTAAAATATCATGGCAAATAATAAATTCCCCACCAGGCTGATATCTCTATTCCATCTCACAGAGGAGTTATTTCACTCTGCCAGTGTCAGTGCTGCTCATATTTTGACTAAGTACGTCAAGTCCATGAGTTATTACTCTTCACAAAAAAGAGTTTCCACAAGGAAATATTGGTGCCGGTCACTGTGTTCAAGAATGATTCACTTTGCCAAACAAAGTGAATGAGAAAAAAAAAAAATCGCTGTTATATATATATCTCCAAAATGATAACTTTAAAGGAGAAGGAAAAAACCTACTGTACTTTTAATGTAAGTCAATGGAACCAGACTTTTTTCCAAGTCATTTTGGGCTGTTTCTTTTGGTTCAATTATCCTGAAATGTACAGACAATGTAAAAGACAACAAGCATTTTCAAATTACTTCAAAAACTGAAAAATGGCAAAAATGGAGATACAAGGTTTAGTTTCGGCAGCAGCGATATGCAGTAGTAGTGAAGATACATGGCCGAGCTGATCTCCCAATTTGAATAACTTGAATCCAAAGGAAAATTATGAGGAAATTTTGAGAAATTCTGAGTCGTTCAAAGGGAACCTCGTAACCTTACGGAGGGAAAATTGTCCAAGAGTAATACGGCCGCAGAACCTTAACATCTCAGAATTTCTTCGGAGAACCCCTTATGCTACACTACGTACAGTATAGCAGTATGCATTTTTGGATGCAGCCATAATATTGTAGCGTTGAGTGCTATTAAAGGAGTTTTCACACAGATCATGGTGCTTTATTATCCAGCTGCCTTTGGCCACAGCTATGCTGTACGTAGGCTTAGTTTTCTCTAACAGCTCACTTGCTACTCAGCTCACATCTTACTCATCACCTCTAGACTGACTGTCAGTTCTTTCTGCTCTACACACATACCCCACCAGTCAAAAATAGCCCCACCTTCACAATAAGAGTCCTTGGAAGAATAGCCACATGAATAAATGTGAATAAAATAACATTTCAAAAGCATTTGTTGAACATGCTACAATATAATAATAATTATTATATACAAAGTATTAGAGAGTGAAGGATGAGTACATTGAACAGAGCCCTGCCCCTGCCTACCTGACCAGTGTCTGGTGGACGCTCCTGTGCGGTCAGTGCAGGTATCGCTGACCGGCCTGAAGACGGTCTCCCAGCCGTTGTTGGCATAGCGCCAGTTGTGCGACTCGAGGATGAGTGTGCGCTGGGTGCCGTAAGCGATCATAAAGCAGTAAACCACATGGTGCAGCTGGCAGCCATAACCACAGCCCTTATTAATATTACACACCAACTTCCGCGCTTTACTGCAGTCAGGGGGATTCTGGGAGAGAACAGAGAGAGAAAGAGAGCGAGAGAGATAAAGACTTTAAAGGGCAATTCCACAGATTTCTCTGCATTTCTGCATAATTAGTGAAGATGAAGGCAGTCATTCAGAGCAGTTTGGCCTGAAATGCTCCATTTCAGAAAAACATAGAAAATTGTTCACAGTGGTGGTGATAGGAACCAGACGCATGCAGAACACTATCAGGCGTAATAGTACCCAAAGAAAACCACTATTTTGCCATCAGCATTCCATATAAAACTCAGAAGACTTGTGTAGGTTCACTGGTGGTTTCGGATAAATAAAATGTCTATATTTGTGTTGTAGTCTCCCACGACCCAGGAGGATAAGAGGCTTAGAAGGTGTGTGTGTGTGTGTGTGTGTGTGTGTGTGTGTTTGTGTGAGTGTGTGTGTGTGTGTGTTGTAGTCATGGTGACCCCTGGTTCCTATCACCACCACTGTAAAGAAATCTGAGTCTATCTGAGATTATCAGCTTACATGGTCTTAAACTCTGTCACACAAAATGTCTCATAATGTCTTTTTTTCCTATAACCGATTAAAATTTGCCCCCAGAGTAGTTGGTGAGTGTGCATGTCCATGTTAGACTTAGTAAAATGCATCAGCATGTGTAATTGGAGCTTTCTGTGTGCTACTGTATTTCCTATCACTGTATAAAAGAAGCTCCATGCTGCTTTTATTGTTGGTGCACTGTTATAGTTTTAGACCTAGCGTGCACTCACATTCAGAACACAATTCACATAGCTATGAAAACACCTATTATTGATCTGTTTCATCAGAGGAACAACAAAAAACAAGCAAGTGTGGAGTATATTCTAACATATGTGTTTGCTTGTTTAAAATGGTAGTTTGTGACACAAACCATAAAAAAATGTATGGCTTTGTTAGATCATGCAATAACAGCAGTAGGCATAGGTGCATTTCCTGAAGAAATTGGAGAGTGATTGGGACCATCCCAGGTGGTTGCTAAGGTGTTGCTAGGTAGTTACTGTGGTATCTCCGGTGGTTGCTAAGGTGTTGCTAGATAGTCGCTGTGGTATCACAGGTGGTTGCTATGGTATCTCAGGTGGTTGCTAAAGTGTAAACAACCGTTGTACAATCCATCCAATCAAAAAGCTGCATACACGCACAATATTCCTGATCAGACTGAACATTCCAGAGTCCCTGAATTTTAAAAACTGTGGTAAGAGTTCACTACTACTGCTACTACTACTACTAATAATAATAGTAATAATTGTTCAGGCCAAAACATTATTTAAAGTATTCCTCTCAGACATCAGGCAGTGTATTCATAACTATTTCCTAAAATAACTTCCTGAGAAGGAGCACCAAACCATTCTGAATGACTTTGTTTACACATTGACTATTTAATTATGCAGAAATTTTGATGTGAATGGAAGTTAAATCAAAGAAAGGGTTGTCTTTGACTTTTACACAGTACTGTAATATACATAAGTCATTTTAATATTACCTATAGTGTGTGTGTGGATGAGCTGAATAACTGCAGAGTGCTCTGTGAAGTGCTGATGATACTGCTGAAGTGGGCGGCTCACACCTATCAAGATTCCCACCATCAAATGAACATCTCAGCCTGTGTTTGTTTTAGAACAGAGGTGTAATGGATTTCCCTCCTAATTAAACTGCAATGTGTTGGGTGTGTAGCTGTCCGTGGGGCGGATGTGTGGGAAGCGGGTGGAGGGATGGGAAAGTGTGTGAGATGCTGAAAGTGCTGCATCTGCATTACAGCGAGGCTGAGTGGCTCAGCATTACCCTCATTACAGCACTACTGTCTCATCAAATAAACCCTCAGCGCTTATTCACAGCTTAGTGCTAATGAAGCGCTCTTTCTTTCAAATATCATTTGCCAAGAAAAGAAAAGAGAAATATATAAACTATGCAGCTGAAAACGTCTCCTGGTAGGCTGACAGGGCTGGGAAAAATACTTTGAAAGAGTAGCAATGGCTAAATAATTAATACACGGTCCTAAATGTATTCAGTAACATATTCTGTTACAATAAATAAAAAAGTAACATATTCCATATTAGCGCCCGGACTCTTTTAATAAGGAGCAATGCTGTTGTAATACATGCAGAATGTGGTTTGACATTGTCTTGCGCAAATAATCAAGGCCATCCCTGAAAAAGATGTTGTCTGGATGGCAGCATATGTTGCCAAAGCATGTATATATATCGTCCAGCATTAATGGTGCCTTCACAGATGTGCCAGTCACCCATGCCATGTGCACTAATGCACCCTCATATCCTCACGGATGCAGGCTTTTGAACTGTGCACTGATAACAAGCTGAGTGGTCTTTAGCGCGGAGGACACAGTGTCCATGATTTCCAAAAAGAAATTCAAATGTTGATTTGTCGGACCACAGGACACTTTTCCACTTCACCCTCAGTCCATTTTAAATGAGCTTGGGCCCAGAGAAGGTGGCAGCATTCCTGGATCCTGTTTATATATAGTTTCTTCTTTGTGTTTAAAAGTTTTAATTAGCATTTGTGGATGCAGTGATGAACTGTTTTCACAGACAGTGTTTTTCAGAAGTGTTTCTGAGCCCATGCAGTGATTTCCTCTATCAGGTCTGTTTTTAATAAAGTGCCGCCAGATGGCCCAAAGATCATGGCCAGCAAATACTGGTTTTTAGCCTTGTCCCTTACATACAGAGATTTCTCCAGATCCTCTTAATCTTTTAATGTTATTATGTACTGTAGGTGATGAAAAGCAAAAGTTCTTTGATATTTTATGTTGAGAAACGTTATTCTTGAATTGTTGCACTATTTGATCGTGCAGTCTTTCACAGAGTGGTGGACCCCTCCTCATCTTTATTTCTGAAAGACTCCGCCTCTCTGAGATGCTCTTTTTATACCCAATCATGTTATTGACCTGTTGCCAATTAACCACCAGGTGTTTTTTTAGCCTTACACAACTTTACCAGCCTTTTGTTACTGCTATCCCAACGTTTTTGGAATGTGTGCTGGCATCAAATTCAAAATCGGCATATATTTTTCAAAAAACAATAAAATGTCTCAGTTTCAACATTTGAAATGTTGTCTTTGAAGCATTTTCAATGAAATATAGGATTTAAATGATTTGCACATCATTGCTTTTTGTTTTATTTACATTTTTCACATTTTCAAAGCCCCCAAATTCTATGTTTTATTGATTTTCTAAGTGAAAATAAGTTAACACACCCTCTACAGAGAACACGCTTATACACATTTTAATGTACAATTATAGTTTTGTTACTAAGTTTAACACAAATCTCCTAAATTTAGTTTTATATTTTTTTTCCAAGAGTACAAATCGTCACTAAACTTTGCAGAAAAATACCATATTTAAGTGTGTTCGCTGAAGAGGATATGTTAACTTATTTCCATTTAGAAAAATCAACAAAACATGTAAACAGCGGTGTTCAAAGTTTTGCATAAGTCTTCATTGGATTAAAATGAAGCAAAAGAAAATAAGAGTTGAGAGGGACAAAAGCAGTTTTCCTTCATTCAGATCTTATAGCTTAAATTTAGTTCTCAGGCTTGGAACAGACAGGGAAAAGAATGTAAACTGAATTTTTCTTAAACCCCTCTATCCCAGCATGCACTGGGATTGGTACCTGTAGATAAGATATCCTGTTCTGAACCAGGATGGACAGATCCTTCGCCTCCTTCTCTCTCCACTCTCCAGCTCCGTCTGCCTGGCTGAGGTAGTGCAGGTCCGTCATGATGGACCTGAAAAATATTTACAAACAAAATTATTTATCCACCTTAGCAAATCTGCTCAGTTTATTCTGCTGACATTTTAGCAGTTTTGCACTGTATACCAGCTCTAAATACCAAGCACATCTTCAAACTTCAACAGTACTTTTCCTATATAACACATATGTGTGTGAGTACAGCACTGCAAACCAGTGGAATATTCTGCTATCAATAAACATGTGTGGTTTTGTGGTAAACTGAGATATTAAATATTTCTGATGCTCTAAAATCAGAAAGAGGGCACATCACATTTTGGATTTTGCCATATAATGTTTTAAAAATTTGGACAAGAACAAGCCTTTATCTCCAATAATGCTTCTCATCTAAAGCGATTGTGAGTTAGTAGTAACTGCTGTATAAAACATATTATTACATTATTGAGATTGTATTATGTTTATGAACTATTATTATGAACTATAAGGAAAAGGAAAAAAGAGAGAGACAACCAAACCCAGCCCTATTCTTAAAAGGGAATTCCACCGACTTTCCAAAATGCCTGCATAATTCAGTGGTTGTGATGTAAACAGAGTGATTCAAAGTGGTTTGGTATGAAATGGCTCAGATGTTGATGATGGTGAAATAGTAGAAAATATTAAATTACAATTTTCTTTGGAAAGGATTCTGCCTTATAACACTCTGCATGGGCCTCTCCAACATGAATTAAGTTAAAAATACGTTTTAGACCAAAAACTTTTAGAGGTGGACGTCTGGTTCCTATCACCACCGCTGTGAACAATTTTGACTCAGTTAGTTTCTCTAGAACAGAACTTTTCACACCAAACCACTCTGAATGACCTTGTTTACATCTTAACCACTTAATTACTGAGAAATTCTGGAGAAATTTTGAGAAATTGGTGGAATGCTTCTTTAACCTCAGCAACCAAAAGACCAGTTTTGGGCAGTTTTTGAAAGCTACAGCTTTAAGAGGTAAAAAGTATCTTTTCTCATGGAGATCAGAATAATAAGCCTTATTCACCAAAATCCTCCTAAGTTTGTTCTTAAATGTTTTCTTGAGAAAAACAAATCCCAAATAAGAAAACACTGGTGAGTGTCAGAATCTTCGTGAAAACTGCGTAAATGAGTTTTAAGAAGAAATTTCTTCTTAAGAATGGTTGGTGAATGAGGCCAAGTGTCCACTGAACACTCATGATTTCATCAACCTACACCCCACAAAGAGACACAAATACACATACACACTCTGTCTTGCTCATCCATGCGACCCATGCCGGTGGGAGTAGCAGTGAGAAATCAGATTGTTGTTTTGTAAGTGTGTTTTCTCAACCGTGTCCAACACACGTTTAACTCGTCCCATCACGCACTCGTCTAACGTCTTTCTCCTGCATGCTAAATTAGGGTGCCATCTGTTCACTCTACATATAGGCAAAGGCAATAAGGCACCTGTTGAAGCCCTACTCTTATTAAGGTTTCAGTCTTAAAGGAATAGTTTGGAGAAAAATCAATGTACGCCAAATGTTGTCAATCAGCTAAGACAAATTTGATGTCTGAAGTTTAGTTTTGCACTGGAGCTACAAGGTTAATGTCATGGTCAAATTCCATATTTGTACGTGGAAATATATGTGAAAATAAGTTAACACATTGACTTAATGTAAAGATTTAAGACGAACATCAATAATTTGGGCAGGAATTGACTTATTTGCATTTATAATCACTCCAGCTGGTTTTCTGATATGTTTAATCTGCAATGAGAACCAGTCACTAAAAAGTAACAAAGCTGAAGTCAGTTTCTCATTCGCCAGGTTCTCATTCGAATTGTCCCGTTCCGACCTTAAATAGTGCAGCAGTTACATTCTGGCGCCTCAGGCACAATTTCAGGTGGAATGGGACAATTCAAACAAGAGGCCGGCGAATGAGAAGCGACTTCAGCCTTGTAAAAAAGTTGAAATAAAAGAAATATTTTACTAGAAACTGTTCTACTTTTGAAGAAAAGTTCCTGCTGGAGATGTGAGAAAAACAGCTATATCTGAGCTAAAGCTTAAAGCAGAGCAAAGTAAGTCTGCATTTTCATTTATATTATATTTTTAGCCTATACTAGCACATTAGCACATACTGAGACATATTTACAGCCAAGATGGTAAAATGGACAAAAAATATTGTGGCTCCTTGATTTTTCTTGAAAGAACAAAATGGCTCTTCTTAACATCTGGGTTGCCGACCCCCACTATAGAGGAACTTATGTTCACTTAGAAAATCAAAAAACAACCAGGGTGCTCCAACATTTGTATATGACAGCAGTTAAATAATAGAGTGGTAACACTTTATTATAAATGACCCTTTTTAGATGAAATAAACACCCAACAGACTCTCAGTAACATCAACAACATATCAGTGATGTAGCACCAGTGACATTTAGAAGATTATCAGTAGATCATCAAGAGACTTTAAATTAACTGTGTAAATAAAATTTGTTTATATCTGCCAAATACAGTTGTTTTGCAGTTTATTTTGAGAGTCCAAGTTCAGATCTGTAGATGTTTAACCTAAGAGGAACTGAACATGTAACAGGTTTAATACAGACCACCTCAACATCCTCAACAAGCTGTTACAGACACACCGCTGAGACCATTCTGTAACTGAATCTTATTCTGAAAATATGTTTCTTAAAAATGTTCACTACTGAGGAGACTGTTCAGATCAGTCATCCCTCAAAAGAGTTTTCTAACAGTCAGATTAATAACTGGCTCATTACACTGATTTATCAGTCTACTCAGGCTTTAGCAGAGCTCAGTAACACTGAGATTAATAACTGATCATCACATTGATTTATCAGTCTACTCAGGCTTTTAGCACGCATTTTTGTAAAGAAGCCATTTTTTAGTTCTTCTTTAGAGTAAGTCTTTACATGCTGTGTGCTGGTTTTAAAATAGTTAATAAACAAGCATTAATAAGGTTTCTTTTATATAAAAAGTATTCTCCTAAAAATGTAAAATGTAACTGTACTCTGAATACCGCCTTTACATAATGCAACTTGGACTGAACACAGAGACTTAATTTCTCTATTCTGAACACATATAATACTTTAAATCTGTTACATCCCACGCTTGTGTATGACAAACTGCTACCTCTAAACATGGACAAATGTATACAAAATAGCTAAAAACAGTAGTAAGTCTGAATTTTGCCTGTACTTCTGTCCATTTTTAGAGATAACAGTTCAAGATTACTGTCTGAACATCCGCTTTACCATTTGAAGGCTCTTGGATGTGGAACTGATGACGTTATTACAGGATCCAGAAACCAAATGAGAAGGAGAAACACAGGCCCTCAGTTTAAATCACAATAAGAACAGCCCTGAGGCAGCACTGGACTGTGAGTGACCAGCCAGCTGATTACAGCTGTAATAGAGGGGCAATTACTGATACATTACCCATTAATCAATAAATCCACAAGCAGAAAAGAGAGAGAGAGCGAGACCGAGAGAGCGAAACTGAGAGAGCGAGACCGAGAGAGCGAGACCGAGACCGAGAGAGACTGAGTGAGAAAGAGTGAGAGAGAACGAGTTACACAGCACATGGAAATGAGAATAAAACAGCTGAAACAAAAACCAAAGAAGAAAAATGAACAAGAGAGAAAAGAGACAGAGAATGTGAGGATGGAAAAGCTGAAAGAAAACAGTGAATAAGACAGAGAATTTAACAGTAATCCAGCCTGCTGAGATCTGTTCTGTTTGATAATGTCCTTTTTGTAAATCCAAGCTGAGCTCATTGCTAAGTTCTATAATTTCTATCCCATTGTCCAGATAAATACAGCACTGTTATAACACTTATGCTCGTTTTATGTGTATGATTTTACAATGAATGCAAAAAATGCAAAAAACTAAGACTAATAATAAGTGAGCCATTTTCTCCTCACCTATTTTATGCATGGTACCCAAAAACAAGAAGTTACAAGGCTACAAAGCTAACACAGCCATAAACTGTAATAAAGCAATAAGCCACGAGAGGCCGTGCGTTACTGTGATTTTATCATGGGAAGGGTGTTCTTAGACACAAAGGGAAGTGGAGTAAAACTCCCTTCCCTGTGATAAAATCGCAGTAACGCACAGCCTCAAGTGGCTTTTATGAAATGGCAGCCAACATAAAATATGATAAAATACACATCTTTTCACAAAATAATTTATTACTCATAATAGTTGACATGAACAAGTACAAGAAATGTAGTTCCTTTAGATTATGGTATCCTTGCCGAGCAACCATGGACTGCTGAATGAGGAGAACGCTCTGTCGCCTGTTGTATATTTTGGTCATTTGATGAATTTTTGAACTTTTTGTCATCTAATAATGAACACATACTAGTGAAGTTTCCTCATTGTTTAAAGCTAGAAATAAAGCTTGGTCCACTGCCAGACGCACGGGGGAGAGAGACCACTGGCTTACGCTCAGACAACTGAGAAATAAATGCACCTCTGTTAGAAAGGCCAAATCAGATTATTATCTTGGCCTAATTACCAGCTCTACAAACACTCAAAACTTTTGGAAAACTGTAAAACCCCCTAAAAACAATTCCTCTACTCTTCCAACCAGTGTTGTAGTTGATGATCAGCTGATATCTGAGCAGAAGGAACTCTGTAGAGTTTTCAACTCACATTTTGCTGCAGCTGGTCACATTTTTGAAAATACTGACTCAAATCTGCTGTTAGGTCAAACTGATATCAACTCTATTGTTACCCAGAGCCATGGTCTCTTCACACTCCAGCCCTTCTCTCCAATCATAGTAGCTAAATCTCTTCTTACTATTAATCCATGAAAAACTACTGGTGAAGATGGGCTGGACCCTTACTTCCTGCGTCTAGCAGCCCAAATTATTTTAAAATACATAACATATATTTTTAATCTCTAAATTTTCCTGTTTAGCTAAAATTTTAGAATTTCTAGTAAATAGTCAACTTAAATCATTTCTATATGAAAATTCTTTAGAGAAAAACACAGCACCATCTCTGCTACCACACTGGTTTTAAATGATCTCTATATGACCATAGACAGGAAGAAGCATTGTGCTGCCATTTAATTGATTTATCAAAGGCAGTTGATCACACTCTGATACAGTTGATCAACTTTCGAAAGATTGGTTTTGATACAAATGCACTAAAATGGACCCAAAATTACCTTTTAGCCAGACAACAATGCATAGGACTGAGTAATTACAAATCAGATTTCTTGACTATATCCAAAGGAGGCCCAGTTTATATATATATATATATATAATATATATATATAAACTGGGCCTCTATATATATAGGGGTGCGGGAAAAAAAACGATTCTTAGATGCATCGCGATGTGGACGTGAACGATTCTGAATCAATTCACAAATGTCAAAAATCGATTTTCTAAATATTTAATTTATAACGTAATGTTGACGGAACGCAAAAGGCGGAACTTGGAAGTGCGGAAGTGCAGCGCCTGGACAGTCTGTGGCGGCACATAACAAAAACACAACTGGATGAGTGAGAAATCTGACCGGCTCCCTCTGCATTAAAGCCAGGTTAGATCAGGAGTCACAACACAAATGTTAACATTTTGTCCTTTCAACAAAAATCAAACCACCTTGGGAGCCACAACATTTAATGTCCAGTGTGTCTCAGTATGTGATAATGTCCTAGTATAGACTAAACAATATAAATGAAAACGCAGATTTACTTCGCTCTGCTTTAAGCTTTAGCTCAACTATAGCCGCTTTCCTCCCATCTCCGCCAGAAAACTTTTCCTCAGAAGTAGATCAGTTAAATGTCTCTCAACGTTCAACTGTTTTCACGAGGCTGAAGTCGCTTCTTATTCTCCAGCTTCTTGTTCGAATTTACCCGTTTGAAAGAGAAGCGACTTCAGCTTTGCCACGTTTCAGTGTGACAGTCTCTCGTTGCAGATTTAACTTGCCAGGAAACCAACTGCGCTGCTTATAAATGCGAATAATGCATCGCTGCTATGTGACCTGCAGTCCGCACGCCGGTTACCAGTCATTGTGAAACAGGGCTTTCGCGCTATGTTGCACACGACCCGTCTCAAAGACATTTTACTGACACAGCGATCCCCCCGTCTCTACAACGAGACCAAAACCGAAGTTATAAAATCACTAAAGAAAACAGGTAGAATAGCTGTAACGTGCTGCGTGGACATCCATCACCACTGGATCTTATTTCACCGTAACTGCGCATTTTATCACAGATGAGTAGCAGCAGCTTCTCGTGCTCCAAACAAGAGCACTGAATGAGAGCCTTCTAGTTCACTTGCCACATCACTTCCATTTGTTTTATTAAAAAGATATTGGAAAATTCATTATGGATCATTACAAATACTTTGCTTTACAAGTACCAAGTCACTTTAAATAACAATAACACAGAGTCACTTAGTCACTTTAAAATGTATATTGTCTCTATATTCTGTGTATATTCTGTATATATTTTGTGTATATTTAATATATTTCTGTTGGTTTTTCTTGTATTTTTATTTATTTACTTTCTGTAGAGTGATTATCTGAGCCTCACCATAAGCATTTCAATGCATAAATGCCCTGACATTGCAAATGACAAATAAATTTGAAACTTGAACTCGAAACCTGAGCTCACACAGTGAGAAAATATAAATGCTATATAGAAAAAAAGATGCATCGAGATGCATCGATAATCGTTTTATAATCGCATCACAGCCCTCTGAATCGTAATCGAATCGAATTGTGAGGTGCCTAGAGATTCCCACCCATATATATATATATATATATATATATATATATATATATATATATATATTAATAAACTTGCTGCCTCTGCCTCAGACTGCAAAGTACACCTGTATGCAAATGACAGTTTCAAACTGTTCAGCTGACCCTGTTTATGCTGCAATAAGAGTACGGAGTGCGGAGCCTGGGTTTGACGCTACTTCTGACTGAAACACAAACATTTAAAGTGTGTAATCCATTCAAGTAACATTTTTTAGGCTTTTATACTGCAGTTTTGCAGTGAATCATATTATAAGTGCTTTAATTCAAGCCTGTGATATTACTGATGGAGTTGGTTAACAAGTTTGCTATCTTTTAGCCTGTTAGCTAGCTGACCAACCTAGTTCTAGTTAAGAACATAAGTCTCCAGCCCCTCAGTTTAAACAAAAAACGAGTTCTTACTTCATCAATTCACTCGGTGGTCCATGCGAGCAGCATGGGAGTCAAAGATTATTACATTACCAGCACAAGGGATTTTTCATGCCGAGGTGCAGTGACACAAAATTCAGTTGCTGTGAGGGGGTCATAACTGCGTGTATATTGTAGATTTGACAACGGCTTCAAACGTGACTATCCATTTTACAATATTAGCTTATATCCCCATCAATCAGCATCGCAATTAGAAAATAACAATCCACTGATGCTACCACTGTTCCACGCCTCTGCTTCTCAGCTTTTTCTGGCCAAGAGAGAAGCTGTGGAGCTAAAGCTTAAGGACATGAATGCTGTTGGGTCTTACATGTGGTACTTGTAAAGAATTAGGATGGGACTTCAGCTGCATTACAAAGAAAGACTACTATCTGATCCCACAGATTGATATGGCGCTGATCTACACTGTGGTACCCAGATGGTTTAACCTCCTTGATCTCTGCAATTGGCACTGGCTGGTGGAGCTCTCTCCAGACCTCCAAGCATCTACAAAGCTTCTACAGTGGGCTATCCAAAAAAAGGGTTACCAGTGATATAGCAGGTTCGGTTTAAGAGCTGATAAAAATTTAACACTTAACTAAAGCTCAAGACTCAAGATGTGACTCATACTCGCACCTCAGAGACTTGAGACTTGATTTGAACTTGCATAAAGTAGCTTGTAAACACCTCTGGTACGTATACTTGAGTGTTTGTATGCTTGTTAACCTCTGCTGGTGTCCCAGATCCTGCAGCAATGTGTCTGTGTGCTTCTGCAGCACTGCTGGATCCACATGGCTCAGTTTCTTCACTTCACTGCGAACAAAGTACCACAGCTCTTTGACACCTTTCTCCACCTTCCGCCTGTACTCTTCCTGCTCACGGCCCGGACCAGCTGGAGAGAGACAGAGAAGAGAGAGAAGAGGGGTTAGAGAGGCATGTATATCAGAGCCATAATTGTGCCTGAAATTTTAAACATGATCCAAAGACTGATAATATTCTGTATATTTAATATTCAGAGTCAGATTTGACCCACAGCACCAACTTTAGAATCTGATCCCAACTGTAGGACCAAGAAATTCTGTCAGAGCACAACTGCAGTGCAACTTGACTACATCCTGACTTAATTATGTCCTAATCTGACTGAAGCCCTGACAATTCATAGTATTTGATTATGTCATTAAAGACATCCCGTCACCATCTTGGTAGGTGAGCTGTAACTCTGTAACTCTGATAGAGCTTGTCTCATCACTGTCACTGCAGCTACAACGCTGCAGGTAGATGAAGACCAAAATAGACCAGAATGACCCCAAAAATATGGAAAGATATGTAGACATCTCAGATGTAGTCTCCAGAAAATGCTATGAGGAGAAGATTAGCCAGACTGGTGGACTATATCTGTGTAACCTACAAATCTCTAGAGACTATTTCTAGAGAAATTTCAATGTGTGGGATTCTGCAAAAAAACTAACAAAGCTCTTAAATAATAAACTCATACACACACACTCACACAAATCACTGCGGTCGGAACAAAACCTTTTACATAAAATTCACCAGCTTCTTATTTGAATTTACGGCCCACCTTAAATGGTGCTGCTGTCACACTGAAGTACCTTAAACAAAGAACAAATTTAAAACAAGACCTGCTGGACTGTTGAGTGCATCTCACTGGCTCCCAAACCACACATTTATATTTCACCTGCTGCAGTAATGAGTTTGGGACGTGGCTGTAATAATACAGTGGGAAATCTAAGCCATTTAGATTTCAGCTTTCTTTTGTTATCACTACAGCAGCAAATGAAATAAAACGTATTACTTAATTATAAAACACTCAAATCTATTAGTTAATATGTTTTAAAAATACTTGTAAACTTAGCATTCCAAAAAAATGTTTTACTGCCTTTGCTGGATTGGTTTTGGCTTTGTTATCTCATAGCAAACCACCACTTTGCTTCCCAAGTGAACTTCAAGTTGCCTACCGAATTGGTGACAGCGCAATTGCGTGACGTCATTGGAATATTATGAATATTCTGTTTCAATCTAACTGTCCCATGATGGAATTTTGTCCCAACCCAACAGTAAAGCCTGAAAAAATACTTTACCAACCTGATTGTAGCTCAACAGAATTCGGGCACATTTTATTTGGGCGGTCCCCTATAAATGATCTACAGATACTTAAATCATTAACAGACTTTCTGGTGATACTCAGTTGATTATCAACAACATTAGGGTTCGGGTTAGGAGTAGATGTAGGTTTTCTCTTGAGACACAACTTCAAGTTCAGTTGCATTTAATAGATATTTAGTTGAATGTTAGTTAAGGATATACTGAGCATCTACAAAGCATCTACAGTGGACCATCTAAATAAAGTGTTACCCAGAATTCTGTCTTAACTCAACTGCAGACCAAGAAAAATCAGTCTGAAACCAAATGTAGCTCAACAAAATTCCACTCTGTATTCGACTGGATGATAAACTGACTACAAACAACAAAATTGTGTCCCAAGTTGACTGAGCATGACAGAATTCTGGCAGAACCTGACAGTAGACTTACAAATTGCTGTCTGAACCCAAATGTAGCTGACAAATTTCTGATTCAATCCAAATTGTGCCTGATGAAATGATGTCTGAATTTGTACTGTAGCCCAAAATGATCTAAACCCTTCTGTAGCTGGACAATATTCTGCCCCAATCCAACAGTATCCTAACAAAAATCTAACTGTAAACTGACAAAATTCTGTCCAGGTTGACTCTAGCCTGACAAAATTCTGCCTGATTGTGACTGTAGCCTAAACCAAGGTCAAAATCTGTTACAGGTGGGAGATACTCATATGGGAAACCCAATATGAAATATGAACCTCACCTGAGCATGACAAATGTGTAAGAAACTATGTCCAGTTGGTAGTGAGAATAGTCAGGTCCTGTCAGGTTCAGATAAATATTTCAAGCTCCAACACATAAACATCTGCGGCGGCTGATCTCACACTGACCAATACAGAATGTATATTCTCTGTATGACCTGGTGCTGGTCACTCACAGAGTAAAAGGCTTACAGTGAGATCTTATCTGCACAATATGTGTGTGTTTGCCTGTAAAACTGCCATATTTAAGAAGAGAAAATTAGAATAGATGCAAATACATATAAACACAACAAAAATAACAAGAATTTCTTATTTTCAGAAACATAGTTGATATATTGTCAGCTAGATATCTGGTGAGGTTCTTCCTCTTCTAATTGTTATTATAGCTGCTAGCTGTCACTTCTCCCTATGGCCGGCTGAAACTAAAGCCAACGCGGCCGCCTCACACTATAGTTCCCAGAACCCCTCGCTTCACTACATTCTGTTTGCAACCTGACTTTGCGAAGTATCGTCACCTTGTTGTGCAGACTGAGCGTTTCTCCCATGTCTGTTATATCCTTTTTATGTATGACCTGTATTATGTTTATGGCCTTGCTTTTTGCCTTGCCCCTTTGCTCAGTTTTGTTTATTTATTAATTATTATATTATTTATTATTTATTTATTTATTTACTATATATATATATATATATATATATATACATATAAAATGTTTGCAGTGCTTTGACAATACAAATGTAAATTTGTCATGTTAATAAAGCAAACTTGAACTGAACTGAGAGAGAGATAGAGAGAGAGAGAGAGAGAGAGAGAGAGAGAGGGAGAGAGAGAGAGAGAGAGAGATAGAGAGAGAGAGAGGTAGAGAGAGAGAGAGAGAGAGAGAGTGAGAGAGAGGAGGATATATTTTTGTTACATGCTGAATGATGAACTGGACACACTTAATTCCTTTCATAGTTGTAATTTCATTCCAGCTGGACATAAAAGCTGGGTTCACATTGCACTCGTTCCTCCTGATCTCTCCTCCGTCTCACCACTCTTTTCTTCTACCACTCCACTCTACCCTTACTGCAACTCAGCTTTCTTCTACTTGACCTTCACCTCTTTCTCGCTCTCCTTCTCTTTTTTCTCCCTCTCCCTCTCTCTCTTGTCCCTCGCTTTATCCTTCTTCTCTGTATCCTCTTTCTCTCTGCTACTTGACCACTGTCTGTATCAGTAATTCACCCTGGACACACTGAGAGTGACCTTGCGAGTGTGTAAGTGTGTATGAGTGCGTGTGTGTTCAGGTTGGGCAGAAAAATGTGTAAAACGCAGAAAAGCACAGAAGTGACGTAAATGCATTTTTGCCGCTTTTGTGCCATCGTGTCCTGCGTCAATTCCAAATTAAATCACAAAAAACAACAACAACAAAAAAATAGTTCTGTTCGTTTACATGGTCAGCAAATAAGAGAAAGCAGAGCACAATTTTCAATCCATCATTCAATACGTGTCAAAACCACCAATCTAACAAAAACTGCCAAATGCAAAACAAATGTTACGATAAGACAAAGACTGATATCTGAGAGTGGGTAGAGTGACTGGTATTGGAGTGATGTTGGTATTCTGTGGTGTTTGTAGCTGTTAGTTGTCACTGAGCCACTGTCCTGTGTAGTCTTCCCTGATTAGATGGGAGGAATCATTATCGGCACAATGCATTTGCACGAACCTATTGACCTACAGAGTAGGTCAATAGCATCTATGAAGCGAGTTTTTCCATGTCCATCCTTTCTCGTCCAACATCAGTGCCTGACCTTACAAATGCCCTTTTGACTGAATAGACACAAATTCCCTTTGAAAGCCTTCACAAAGGTGTGGAGGATGTTATAGCCACAAAAGCTGGGTCAACTCTATATTAATGCCCATGGTTTTGAAGGTGATGTCCAACAAACTCATGTAGTTGTGATGGATACTTTTGAAACCACAAACATAATCTGGGACCTCCATATGCCTGTGTGTCATTCAAGCAGGTGAAGGGGAGTTAGAATGCAACACAACACCTGCAATGTTAGTAATTCAGCAGACCACACTGTTCAGTGCTCACGAGAGAGCTATAGATAAATCAATGAGCAGCAAACTAACAAAAGCTGCAGCAAAGTGGAGCTCCAGCTTCCCTCAAGATCCTCCACTATAACATAATCCATGTGCTGCATGAACAAGAGGCTACAATCACAGAGGAGTTGAACCACTGACTTATTTTTATATGCTTGTTTTTGTCCAGTCATAAAGTTGTAAGAAAATGCAGTGCTTTCTAAATGGAAAACAATCTTTCTTTAGGGCCTAATAGAGTAAAAAAAAACAAGCAAATAAGCAAAAAAATGGGATTAATTGTGATTAATCAACTCAGCTAAAAATTAAACAAAATTTATTATACTCAATTGACCGCTCGTGAAATAATGATCAAACAAGAAGTTTGATCATTTGATCAAACAAAAAGCATTCAGTTTTAATTACATTTGAGTAAAGTACAAAGGTAATTCAATGTGCTTTACATAAATAAAATCAAAAAGAACATCAAAAGCAAAAATAGAATACAAAAAAAGGAAGTATGAAGTATATAAAAAAATCACAAAGAGGAAATCAAAGACAAAGTCAAAAGCCTCCAAAGAAATTTCCTTTTTTTTCAGATTTACCACTTTTTTAGCATTATCAACAAACTCAGAAGACACATGTACGTTCACTGGTGGTTTTAGACATTTAAATAAAATGGCTATATTTGCATTTGTGACCTTGTGACTTTGTTGACATGGCCCCCTGTTCCTCTCATCACCTATATCTCAACGATTGAAAGTCTCCTTTAATACTTAATATTATATTGTATTTCTGCTACAACCGGTTGGATTACTTTAGAGTATGAAAACTGACAGAAAGTTCCTTTCATCATTCTGCTTGCTGAATAATTGAATGTGCTGTTGGTGTGGTGCGGTGCTGGAGCACGGTTTCATCTGCAGAGGGGCTCAAATTCACCTGCAGCAGTGCAAACACACTCAGACCCTCTTACCATCTCCAAACAGCCTCTGGTAGTTGTGTATTTTCTGCTTTGCTCGACTCAGCTGCTCCTCTAAAGAGCGCAGCCTGCCTGCAGACACAGGCCGATCAGACTGTCCTTCAGGAATCCTGCAGAGAGAACACACAGGGGCGGTCAGTCACTTTTATCCTACAGGTAGACAGTGGGTCACAGCACATTAGACTCATTCTGGTTAGCATTCAGCATATGTCTGGGGAAATAACAATTAAAAAACAATTAAATTTAATTTACCTTTTGATTTGAACTAGGTCTGCCAATTCTGATTAAATGCATTTTCGTGTAGTTATTTTGCGATTAATCACATATTTGCTTAAAAGAAAGATTACTTTCATTTTAAAAGCAGTGAATTAATAGCTAGATGGATGGACTAAATAAGCTTCATCATAATGTGCTTATTACTGTCAGTTAGGCAGGTGCTGGAATAAAAAACTGATCATGATAATTACCTTTCAGATAGATAGATAGATAGATAGAAGGTAAGTAAGTAGATAGATAGATAGATAGATAGATAGATAGGTAAGAAATTGCAGTGTTACAATAGTAACACATACAATTGCACATAAACTTCGAATAAGAAGCTGTCATATAAAAAGCTAACTTTTTGTGGAGCTAGGCGTAGTTCAGAGTCAAATTAGGAAAGTGTGTTAATGTCACTGTAGTTTCATTTTACAGTATTTGTTCTTTTATTTTTTAACATACAGCATAATGAAGAGTAACTTTTATTTAAAGGGGTCATATCCTACATTTTTCTCACATTCACATATTTTTCCTGGAGCTTCACTTATAACTTTTGTGTCAAAAACTAGTTATACTTAATTTTTAAATGACAATGTCCAACCTCTCCTTTTCCCTTTAATAAAACAGGCCATTTTTGTTAGTGTTAGTTGTCAAGACTGATATATGTAAATTGCCTCTGTTCTGATTGGCTGCTCTGTATAACACATGCTCCTCAAAGAACACACTTAACCCTCTCAACAAACTTATTTACCTCACGATACAACATTAAAGGGAAGAGTTTGAGTAAGTCAGTAAAAGGCATGTACTTAGTCATACTGTCATATTGGGCACCTTTAAACCTCTTTTTTAACATTCAGTATATATACAGAAATATATTTGCAGAATAGAAGCAACACTGTGCAACGGTGAAATAGATTTAGCCAGTCACAAGCCAGGTCTCACCAGGCCTACCTCTAGAGAGGTCTCAGGGAACACTGCTCTCTATCATTTCTTCTCATTGTTGCACAATGTTGCCTCAAGGCAACATACTCCAAAAGGACCCCTGCACATATGAATTATTTTTAATGAATTTAATATTCAGGTCCATTTTATGCAAGAAAAGTGAATCTTATATATTTTTTTAATTGGCTCTCATAATACAACAGTACAGGGTAAAATATTTCTGTATTTTATGTATGTATTTATTCTGCATTTTTTGTTTTTTTATTTATATTAATTTGCTGAGTTTATTATATTGAAAAAAACACAGAATACTAAATATGCTCTTACTTTTGCACAGGCCACATTTGGCGTTATATTCTTTTTCAACATGTTTAAGCAGCACAACATAAGATTTAATAAAAACTGAAAGAAGTAGCATTACTACTGAGGTAGGAGAAAAGAGAATACACAAAAATGGGGAGTGTGTGCTGCCGCGAGTCGCCCTATAAAGCCTAAAAAATGTCAGGTCGAATTCCGGGGGAGTTTTTCTAACCACGTTGTACTTTATGCATTAGTGTCACATGCGCAGACTCAAAAAATTGTCGGCTTAATGTTTAGATCTCACATGCAAAATCAACATGATACAGATGAAGATATATATATATTATACTGATGTAGATAATTCACTCACATCCTCTAAAGACATGTCAATCATCAAGTTTTAGCTAAGTTCTCTTTGAATTCTCTTTCAATCATCAGATTCATCTGCTCAGGGAAGGGGTCTGAAGCGCAACCCACAAAAGAAAACATTCTTCCGCATGTTGCATGCAGTTACACATTTCCAGAGAGGTCTCCAAATCCCCAAAACTTACATCTTTAAATTAAGTAAATAAACAGTAACTGTGCATTAAAATGTGCAGAAGTGTGTTCTATGTGTGTGTAGGATGTGTTATGTTCACTTAAAAAAAATCAACAAAAACGTCATTTGAATGGGCTGCCTGAACTTTTGCACTCAACTATGTAAATGCATTAGTTTTTGTGACACCAATGATTTTAAAAAACTGCGATTGCAGCATACTTTTCATATATGGATTGTATTGACTGGGGAGTGAAAGTTTTGAATCTTTAACCATGTTTACATACAACATTAAAATTTTGTTGAAAAAGTGAGGAAAATTAGGTTTCCCATGATACGAGCTGTTTAACAAAACATTGTATTCAGTATATAATAGAGACAACAAACACACAAAGAGAGATAGATAAAGAGAGACAGTCAGAGATGGAGTTGGAAGGAGAGAGAGAGAAATAGATAAAGATAGAATGGTATAGAGTGAAACTGTTTCAGTAAGAGTTGATTATGAATAGTGGGTGAATTAGAGACAGTATAATGTCGACTACAGTTCTCGATTGCGCTCTGTTTGGTGCGCTTTAGTAAATTCGCTTTTAAAAAATTCCCCTAAAGCCTGTAATCACTAATTACAGTCTGAATGATGTTCCTCTTCAGCCTGTTTCGACATACTCTAAACACCTCCTGTCACAAACAGCCCACTAATGAGTGTCTGGAAAGCTATTTATGCTCAAGTGGGGCTTAAAATGTTGACTAAAGTCTGTTAATTCACCACCACACAATAAGCCTTAATAAACGCAAAAACATTTTTCGGAAACATCTTGCCCCCTTTTTGCAACAATTACCAAACATTTCCATCAGATTCATAATCATAAACACGTTCCCTTTTTTTTCTGAGAACCAGCATCTAACAAGAACATGAAAAGTATGTGTTACATATTCATGTACTAATGAATATATTAATATTAATGCTGGCAACATATGCATATGCAAAGGGAATTAGAGCAAAGGAACCACAGCAGTAAGAAGGAAGCCTGTGAGCCAAAAAATCACACATTCAAAGAGAAATCAGTGCTTTAGACTGGAAGAGGAGAGGGGGTGAAATGCTTAAAAATTAATCAAACAAAAAAAAATAAATCATATACATGAACACAGCAGGCTAACCTTATATTCACAGTATATGGACTAACCATGGAGATAATAAAAGCAGGCCATAATTTTGTATGAATTATGTCTCAATCACAGGTCACTGAAACCAAAGAAGAAACCGTCAATTCATACTACAGTTGTGCTTGTAAGTGAAAAAGATTTTTTTAGATGAATTTGATGAAAAAGGTATTGTTCTGTGTACAGCTTTGTTTTGCAGAAAGAAAAAATAGATAATTTATATTTTTGTCATTTTTCAGCATTTTTGACATCGAAACAGGCAGAAAAAGATGATGCAAAACTGTCAATATAGAATGTCAATGAAATTCCTAATGTAACTAAGTAATAAATAATGTAATTACATATAGATACTTAGGCAATGCACATTGGAAAGTTTGCAGCACACTTTTAAAAATAAAGGTAGATGATTTGCTGGATTGATGCCATTCTTAAAAAAAGGTACTAGAGTCTCACTGAGGTGGTCCCCTTAAGTCCCTGGGGTCGGCTGGTACTCCGAAGTCCCTGGGCTGGTACCTTCCAATCACCGAGGTGGTACCCCTAAGTCACTTGGAGTGGTAGCCTCACATCACAGAGGTGATACCCTTAAGTTACCAAGGTGGTCCCTTAAGTTACTGAATTGGTACCTTGAAGTAACTGAAGTGGTAACTTGAAGTCACCAAGGTAGTAAACTCAAGTCATCAGAGTGGTACCCTCAAGTCACCAAGGTGGTACCTGAAGTCACTGACGTGGCACCCTCTAAGTCACTGGGGTAGTACCTGCAAGTCACCAATGTGGTACCCATCAAGACACCGAGGTGGTACCATCAAGTCACGAGGTGGTACACTCAAGTCACCAATGTGGTATTCTGAAGTCCCTGGGGTGGTACCCTCAAGTCACGAGGGTGGTACCCTCAAGTCACTGAGGTGGTACCCTCAGGTCACCGAGGTGGTACATTTAAGTCACCAAGGTGGTAGCCCCAAGTCGCTGGGATGGTACCTTGAAGTCCCTGGGGTGGTACCTTCGAGGGTACGTCTTCAGTGTATTTAGTTAGGGAACATAATTGTCCCACATTTTATTGGAGTGATATTTTTAAGCTGCCTTAATTTCATACACTGTGTCTTCACTCCAGTCCTTTTTTAAAAGCTAAAAATACTTACCTTTATCTTGGTAAAGTAGTTGGGCCTTAAAGACTAGTTTGAACATTTGATTGTACATTTACATCGTCTATGCTTGAGGACAAAATGTATCTGCACAGTGACCTTTGTTCCTGAGAGTACAGTGCTGCACGTTTTAGAGATACACACAAGTTGTGTGAGCATCAGAAGACGGAAACCACAATCTCTGCTGAGCTCTGGCCTGGAAGGAACTCAGTTTAACACACTTGTTCAATTTCATTTAAAAATCTTTCTTAGAAAAAGAACACAAACCAGTTAGGAACCTTTCTAGAGTATTTACTGAATAACGTCCCCCTAGTGTCAGTGTTCATGTTTGTTCAGGTCCCCATAAAGAGATCAACACAAATACATATGGACACACATACTGTCGCTGCGAGGACGAACCTTGCATGCCCATTTTTTGTCATCATCTACTTTCTTTGCAGAATTTGAAATTTCATGACAAATGAACCAATAAAAATGGTCCAAAACTACTCACAAACAAATCATGCTCCATTAACCTCAATTCAAAGTAAAGAATGTGTTTCTCTCGTAAAGTTCTCTTGTAAAGAAAGAGGGAAAAAAATAAAAGCACAGAATAGAAAGAGACATAGAAAGAGACAGAAAGGGGGGAGGGGATAAAGTCATAGCAGAGAAAGAGACAGCAAAGAGAAAGAGAGAGAGAGAGATAGAGAGAGAGAGAGAGAGAGAGAGATGAGATACAGTTATAGAAGAGAAAGAGACAGCAGAGAGGGAGAGAAAGAGAGAGAGAGAGAGAGAGAGA